GCATCCCCCCAGCCCCCACAGCACTCACATGCTGATGGCTGTCAACTCCTATAACTGCCCGACGACAGGACTCTCCAGACCCTTGTCCGGGGGCAGGCCAAGAGTGCCAGGGACTAATGGCCCTGGGAGTAGCCCTCAGCAGTGATGGGGAAGATGGGTAAGTATCTGAGCTTCTGTGCTGCAGGTGGGACCGCTGTGGGACGTGCTCCACACCACCTCCCAGCATCCCTGCAGGCCTGAGCCCCAGCTGCCCCCACTGCTGTCCCCTTGCTGATGCCCTGTGCACCACCCCTCACTTCCTCCCTCCCTCCCCACACCCTATCCCAGTTCATCTCCCCGGTAATAGACTTGCAGATCCTAGCTCAGGGCTGGCTTTTAGGGGAACCCAGCCAAGACCGCCCCTTCTTGCCACCCCTGTGACCGTCACCTACAGCCTGGGGTTCTCTTTCAGAGTGTCATGAAGCCTCGTACCGCCTGCCTGGGACTGGGGCCACCTCTGCCGTCGGAGAGCTGGTGGCAGAGCGGGACTCTCCACAGTCACTCTTGCATGTGGTGAGGGCGGCAGGCTGTGGCAGCATGAGGCCAGGTGAGCGCTAACAAAAGCTTTAAAAACCAAACAAACCCTGGGCAGGTGCGGGGAGACCAGCAGAAGGAGGGCAACTGCCGCCTTGCCGGGGCAAGATAAGGGACAAGTCACCAAACAGCCAGAGATGGGGACAGACGTTCTTCTCCAGTCCCTTGTTCCAGACTGGACTTCCCAATGATGTGAACCTCCTGTAGGAGTGGAAAGAGAAATGGGCCTGTCCTCTACTCCAGACGAGGACCCAACCCCACAGTTAGAAGCAGGGTTTGGGGAGGCCTCTGTGTGACCTGATGGAGCTGGCTGCCAAGACAGAGGGCCCAAAGTGGCAGGTCACACCCCTACCCCTGCAGGTGGACAGAGCAAGGGACAGATCATCCAGCAGCAAGGACACTGTCCTCAGGACCCTGCCAGCCACCACCATGCTGGCCCTGGGGACCGTGGCTGGAGGACTGTCCTTTCCACATGTCCACGTCCGTATCCTTGAGAACGTTGTTACTGCTAACCCAGAAAAGAACCCAGAAGTTGTGATTTTGTTTTGAGGTTTGTTATTACAGGATAACCTTGCATGATGGACCCATGACAGGCACAGAGGAGCCCTACAAAGCTAAATCCTGTGGGTTTGGTAAAAACATGATTTAAAAAATTTTTTTCAAACTTTTTTTTTTAAAGTAATCTCTGCACCCAACGTGGGGCTCAAACTTACATTCCTGAGATCAAGAGTTGCACGCTCCTGTCCCCCATTGGGGGCACTTTGAGATCTCTTGGAAGTATCCCTTCCCGGTCCAGTCTGGGTCACGGTCATATCAGGTGCCACCGACTCCTGTGGTGTATTAACGGCCCCCGGGATCGAGGACTCCCTTTTTCACTCTGACTGGGGCCCTGCATATGTGACCGGTCCCCGCTGTGCAAGTCAGCTGTCCCAAACCCTTACCTTTCCTTGTGGGATCGCAGGCTCCGTCGTCACCCCTTATTCTCCCCACCTCTCCAACCACAACATTCTAGAACTCTCTCTGTGATGCACTGTGGAACCTGGGCTCCCTTTCCTTCTCCTTCACCATGTCCTGTGCTCTGCCAGGGGATAGGGCACCACCACCATCCTTACTGTCATCAGAGCGCCACGAGAGGGACACAGTCCGAGCCAGACAGCCAGGGACCTGTCCCTGTCTCACCCCAGCACCAAGGACTCACATTCTAGTGCTTTCCATGAGATCCCCAGAGCGTCTTCTAGGAGAGGGGCTCCGTGCCATGGCTCCACGCCATGTCTCCCCATGCCCGTGGTGCCCTGTGGGAGCCTGCCTCCCAATAGAACTGTGGAATGTTAGAAGCAGTGGGGGTGAAGCTCCATGGTGATGAGGGCCGTTCACCCAGGCTCCGCAGCCTCTGTCCCCATCCTGGGTCCGGGAGGGAGCCTGAGGAGAGGACGGGAATTGGGTCTAGGTCCTCACCGGCCTCCTGGGCCCTGGTCCACGGGGGTGCTCGGCAGCCGCTCTCTTAAGAGTCTGCAGGAGGGCTGACCAGCCCATGCACTGCAGGGCTCAGGGCTCCCCTCCTCCCCTCCCCAGGCAGGGGTGGCTGCGTCCGGGCTCCTGTTGTCCACCGAGGAGTCACAGGCTCTGGTGAGGTGAGCCCTGGGGCCAAGCCACTAGCAGGTGGGACCTGAGACCGCATGTGGCCCAGCAGCACAACCCAGACAGGAGTGGAATCAGATCTACACCCCAGCTCTCCCGTCTCATTCCCCGAACCCCACATCCAGCTGTGCACGACTCCTCATCCAGACTCTGGTCGCTGCCAGGCCATGCCAGTTCTAATCCGAATCCCCACAGCAGCCTGGTATAGGGCACCTCCCACCTGCACCTTCCTCACCAGCTGTCCCTTCTCAGCGTGGCCATCAGGGCTCCCGGGGGCTCGCAGTTAGCGCCCCAGGCCTCCCTCGGCCAGAAGGACGCTGTGTCATGTGCACCTATGTGGCTACAAGCACAGATGTGCACTTACAGACGCGCACAAACTCGCACGGCCTACTGGTGGTATTAAAATGTCAGGGCGAGTATGAGGGGAAAGGTCTAGAAAGGCTCCTGGGAGGGAGAGGATAATGAAGAAAAGGCTGAGAGGCGCTGCTCACCGCAGTGCTCTCCTGGAAACCGGACATTCCAAGCAGGCAACGCTACAGGGATGGAGGCGGAGCAGGGGCTGCGGGTGGGGTGCTGACGGCGCAGGGCAGCACCAGGGAATGGAAGCTCCGGACCCCAACCGTGGCACTTGACGGAGCTGTGTGCACACCCATGAAACACGTGCACACACTGAACAGTCCCACGAATTGTAACACAGAAACTAACCGAGATAAAAAAGGACAGCTCAACCATTTCTCACTAAAGAGCGAGGCAAACAGCCGATAGTTGAAAGTCACGTTCCTCTGCATCCTCTTCCCAAAAGATGCTGGAAAAGGAGATGCGTGTTACGCAGCACGGAGGACAGCCACGGACGGGCCGCCACGCGGCAGCATCAGAACCCTGTGGGGGGTTTCGGAAGCTACGAGTGCTCGAACCCTCTCCCCAGCGGCCGTGGCTCAGCACCCCAGGGCTGGGCAGGCATCTCCCTCTCCCACCCCGCCACCCCACAGGGAGCCAGCCCATCGGTCCAAGTGGCCAGCAGCACGACTTGTAACACACGGTCCACACCTCCTCCCGACCACCAGGCACCGGGGCAAGTGTGCTGGGGAAGGCAGCGCTGGACCTGGGAGGAGCCAAAACCCTGGAGCACCAGAGAGATCCAGCTCCTGGGCCCCTGCTGAGGTTCTGGGAGTGATGTCCCTCCTGGGCTGAGGGAGATGGGTGAGGACACAGCACCCACCCACTGACCTGGCTCTGCAGATGCTGGGCCAGGCATCGCCCAAGCTAGGCACCACAGGTCCAAGTGCGCCCACGTCCACGTTGGCCTTGACCCCTCACTGCACTGGGGATACACCATTCCACACCCTAATAGGGTGCCCCCGAGTGTCCAAAGGAGGCCCCTAGGCCCATTTGGGGGACATTTCATGCTGTGACCTCTGCAGGGCAGAGACCCCACTGCTGGTTCACTGCTGTGTCCGCAACGGGCAGCACCATGTTTGGGGCATGGAGGTGCAGGTACTGACCCAGTGGTTCTCCACAAGGTGATGACCCACAGGGGACACTGGCCATGTCAGCAGACGTTTTGGGTTGCCATGACAGAGGAGACCAGGAATGTTGCTCAGTGCCCTACCACATGGGATGGCCCCAAACATGGAGACTCAATGCCCAAGAGAGAAGGCTCCAAACAAGCAGCTGGGGTTGGGGACTGAGCAGCGCCAGGCGTTGCTGTGGGCTGCTCAGCAGCTCTGGGTCTGCGGCTGGACCTGGGCCAAGGCATGTGCCCACAGTGGGAGAGCAGGACCATCTGGGGAGGGAATGCTGGGTCACTTCTCAGGCCTCCCTCTAGCGCTCCCCACGTATGTCCCAGCAGTCCACGACCTCCTTCCCTCTTGTCTGCTCCCAAAGAAGCACCTGTTCATCCCAGGACTGGGCATCTACAGAAGGGCCAGTGGGGGGTGGGAAGGGACTGTAGGTGCCACCCTCAACGTGAGCAGAGCAACTATTCCCTGCAGCCGTATGTTTCCAAAAACCAGGTGCTGGGAAGGCAACCTTCCAGCACTCCTAGATTTTCAGTTCGTGCTGGCTGGGGTCCCATGTGCATGCAGCGACCCTAAATCCCCACCAGAGGCCAGACTACAGAAAGTCCCATGAGGGGACCCAGGGGGATGCAGGGCACACTGGGAGCTTGGCCAGGGCCCTGCCAGCACAGCCTCCCACGGGGGAAGGACTAGGCAGCCTTCTTCCAGGGGGGCTGCGGGGCTAAGCCACCGCTCAGAGGAGGGAAATCCTCCCGCCCCTGAACAGGAACATGAGGTACTTTTACTTCCTATATTAAATTCTTGCACTTTTTAACAAGAATATTACCTTTACAAACAAAAAACTCAGAAATGAGACCCTCAGCTGTGTGCCCACCACAGAGCATGGCCCCTGCCCTCATCTACCCCGTTCTTATCCTGTTCTCAGAAAAGGCAAACTCCCCTTGAATTTAGCCTGAGAAAATCCCACTGTGGCCCCAGCTTCCTCAGGGCCACTGGGTCGGTGATGGGGACACCTATCAAGCCGAGGTCAGAGGGAGGGATCCAGGGACCTACCATTGTCTGGGTTCCCAGGGATCACTTACCGCTTCATTGCACAACCGGGAAAATCAAAACGTTGTCAGGTCCAGGTGTGAGAGGCTCCCAGGGGGGCCCCCCACCCCGCCAGGATCCAGTCCCGTCCTTTGGCCCCCAGCGCCCCCCACCTCACGTTGCTCATGGCTCCGGCCTCCATCTAAATCACATCCCCCAAAAAACAATTACAAAGCACACGACAACGTTTCAAAAACTGATTTATGGAGAAACAGCCCCACAGGGTGGTCCCATCCCGGTGACAACACTGGGCGCAGGCTCAAAGCAGCCACTTCCTCGGGTCCTGGCCCTGCCGCAGGGGCATCACCCCCGCTCCAGCCCACCCCGCACCACAGCAGACGCCCGAGAGGGACAGTACCTCCCCCCACCTCACCTGTCGGCTGTCAGGGCGTGGGATTTCAGTATCAAGCAGCAGAAACGGGTTTCTTCTCCAAGTTGGTTACGTGATCTCAAAGAACAACCGAAAGTAAAATTAGGCTGAAAAAGTAAAGGTTCTGACCCCTTCCTGTGTTTTGGCGGGTCTCCCTGTGAGCACAGAAAGGGCCCAGAAGAGAGGATGTCTTCCAAGCCTCAGAGGCACCGCCGGTCACCCACGCCTCCTGAAGGCCGGCCTACAGGCCGCCAAGCTGTAAATGACACAGAGCACTCGGTAATTTGGCACTGTCTTGTTCCCATTCGCAGCTGCAGGCTAACCGACGGCGCCATGGCTTATTCCGACTCTCTAAACACTTCCGAGGATGTATAGTCAGATGACGTCCCAGACCTCCCAAAAGTAGGAACAGGAGGTCAGCCTACGTTACCTCTGGAACCAGCCAAGGACTGGGGTGCACGAGCCGCAAGCCAGGGAGGGCTGTCTGAGAACTCTCCCGTAAGCATTCCTGAAAGTTAGAGCACAAAGACAGAGGCAGAACGAGGGCTTCTGACAGAACAGGGCAGCCTCCTCAAAGCACCGGGTCTGCGCGGGGAGCTCAGAAATCCCAAGACCCCTGTGGCCGAGTTCGCCACGCCAGGGGGCTGAGCAGGGGGCCGAGCAGGGTCCTCTCCGTCTCGTGAGCACTGGAGCAGTGTGAGCTACACGGGCCACCCACAAACCGAGCACCAGCCCTGAACCGCTGCAGCTGGTGGGGCACGGGGGTGGGCTGCCTAAGGGACGGGCCTTGCCTGACCGGGCCACAGCAGCAAACCCCAGGTTCTCAGGGAGAGAGGACGTCGGACGGGCCAACTCCAGCTCGGAGCTTGTTCTGCATGAAGCGGGGATGGAGGCCTGGCCTGCTCCTTGAGCGAGCCCACTGTGGGAGTGCTGCCACCCTCCGCCTTGGCCAAGAGGAACACCAGGTACAGGCGCCCAGCCTAAGCTGCTTGGGTTGGGGCACGAGGTGAGAGAGGGAGGGCGGGAGGGTGCAGCCCTCAACACCAGCCACAGTGAGCCAGCTGCCCAGATGGAGGGACGGAGGGGCGAGGCCTGGACGGGAGGCCCAGTCTGGCCTGTGGGAGGAAGGATTCTGGAACTCCCACCACCACGAGGCCTCCAAACCTGCTCCCACCCAGCAGCAGACACTGCACGTCTGAGCTGGGTGGGCCAACATAACCAGATAGACCGCCAGGCCTGAGTGGCCAATCGCAACAGCCTCCTGCACTGAACATTCAGCCCCAGTACGTAAGAACCTCCAAGGACTCCCATCTGAAATCTCCAATCGCGGCTCTTCCTATCAAGCAGCAGAACAGCACATGCCCACGGAGGCAGACACGCACCCGAGGCTCCTCTCCTGCCACTCACACCACGACAGACTCACCCGACCTCACGGCAGCACAGTGGCAAGTAAGGGGGTGCCAACCAGGGGAAGATGGCCACACCGACCCAGGTCCACCGCCACCTTCCCCGAATCATGCAGCACGTGGGCGCAGACCGTCCCTAAATTGGGTCATTCAGGTTCCTTGTGGGGACCTGTGTTATCAAACCCCCAGCTGCCCTCAGGCTTCCAACCACAACCTCAGCCTTTCTGAATCCTCCCCTGCAACGAATTACCGGCTGGAAGCTGCCCGGATGGGCTGGTTGCCTGCTCTGCCCTCAGGCACGCCCCCTGGGGCTGGCTTGCACAGCCTCTGCACGCTCGCCTACTTAACTGGAAACCAAAACTGGCCACAGTTCCACTAAGTGGGAAATAAGACGTATGCTGGATGCCCGGCTGTGCAGGTGACAAGCCCCCACCCAGACCACTGCCGAGCCGTTCGGCCCCACAGGTCCCCGGGGCACCGCCTGATGCCAGAGCCAGGGACCCACGTGAACACAGCCAACAGCCACGGCTCGCAGGAACCATGGAGAAACCCACACTCCACAGGCAGGTTCCACCGTCTGGGTTCGAGACCGGTTTTTCATCAGAAAGGCTCATCTTCAATCTGAGTGGGCTGTACAGACAACGGGGGGCCTCGGGCGGAGCGACCTTAGAGTGAGCCTCAGGCTCGGGCGAAACGTGGCGCGCGGCAGCCGTGCGCCCCGCGGGCCTTCACTCCGTTCTCACCGAGGCTTCCCGGCCGCGGCTACCACCATGCAGCAGCAGCATGCCTGGCACAGGACACACAGTGACGGCCACAAGGGGGTGGGGGTGACAGCGCTTGGAGGCTCGGTCCTGCGGAAGACACGAAAACTGGGACCGCGCCTCAGGGCCTACTAGAAGGATGTGGGAGGTAGCCATGGTGTGTCCGACAGCCAGCCGGACGGGACCCCACCTTCTTGGCTTGCCTCCTTCCCAAGTCGGGAGCTGGGAAGAACCTCCTAGAAGGTCTGTCTTTTAGGGACCATGCCCCAGAGCTTATCAATTCTACAATTCTGGGAAGCAAAGGAAGGTCAAAGTTGCCAAAGGTACTGAAGCTAGAGCAATAGGGATTTTTTATTTTTACAAAAAGGCCAGTCAGGGAGAAATTCATCAAGAAAACATGTTTCATGGGACATCTCACGTTGGTCTCTACATGAAGGCACCACGAAGCTGCCCCCTTCCCTGGGGTCCCTTGCCCCCGGCATGAGGGCTCAGCACAGTCCACCCAGCAAGGGCGAGCAACAGGGAGGGGGACCATTGGCCTGCCTCCCCAGTGAAGCCGCCCCCCCCCACGGGAGGTGAACGTGGTGACAGCTGTCTGCAGGCTGGAGGCAGAGCTGCAGCTAATTCTTGGGGGTGTACGTGCATTTGGGGCTCTGTTCTTCAGGAGACACTAGATCAGCAGAGACCTTACAGTGGGTCCCCAAATGCAGGCGTCTCTGGGACACCGGCAGAGCACCCACAGAAGCATCTGTGCTCAGACCCCTGCCGTGGAGGATCCCAAGGGACCCTGGTCTCCAAAGTGCATTCCATCCATGGGGGTGACTTCTAGAAAGCTGCCCTGTTCCCCGCAAAGGGGCTCCAAGGTCATCTGTGCCACCACTCTGCTGCTTATACCCTCCCAAGAACAACACCTGTGCACGCTACGCAAGTGGGGGAACGCAGGGCTGTTCCGGATGCGGCCCTGCCCAATTCTGGGGCAGGTTCTGAGACCAGAGCGTGGGCAGGAGGTGGGTTGGGGGTGCAAACAAACGGCCTGTGTGGAACTGGATGCAGCAAAGGTCTTGGTTCTAAAGCTGGACAGAGGCCAGGGCCGCCAAGCCGCCGTTCCCTCCCGGCCCGCATCGCTGACCCCCTGCACTGATGCACAAACGTGTCAGAGGGGAAATGCTTTTGTCCAAACTCTAAGCAGGTTAGCGGAGAAACGGCACTTCAGTCCAGGGTCCTGGCCCAGCATCCTGGACCCCCCCGGGCCTCCGTTTGTGCACACACTGCCCCACACCCAGGCTGCCCTCGCCCCAGGCCCCTGCCAGCCTGCAGCCGCTTCCACTCGCCTCCAGCTGGCATGGCCCACACACAATCCCTCCTAGCAGCGCCCAGGGTCGCTCAGCCTGTCCCTTGAAAACCACCAGCAGGCCAAGGACAAACCCAATTTCTCCACTTGAGTTGTTCACAAAACTCTGCAGCCAGCCCTCTCAATCAGTCCCGTTCTGGTTCTTTCTTTCTTTCTTTCTTTTTGTAAGACGTGCTCAGTCAGCCTTCCCACGAGCTCCTAACGAGGACACACGCAAACGTCACACACTCTGTACAAAGAGTCTTGGGGTGGCTGGGCCGAGACTCCTACAAGGTGGGTGTTCTGGTCAGAAGGCCGAATCTCCAAAGTGCATGCTGCTTCCTTTCCCAGGTGCCAGGTCCAGGGCCCCAGGAGCTGCCCCGCAAGAAAGTGGCCCGTCAGGAGGTCAGGGACTGGATGTTCTTGAGCATCTCCTCGAAGGCCTGTGGGGACGGCGCCTCTGCATTCCGGAAGGTGGCCTGCACCCTGCTGTACAGGCTGAAGGATTTCAGCTCCAGCCAGATGAACCCGAAACGGTCCTCGTCGAATAGGATGAAGACCCCAGGGGTGCGCTCAGGGCTGGTGAAGCCGTGGCCGGCGATGAGGCCTGTGCCGTAAAAACTGTGCGAAGACAAGAGGGAAAGCGCAGGGAGGACAGTGAGAGGGGCCAGAAGGAGCGCGCTGGGCCCCGTCCCACCCCATCAGCCCCCTGCCGCAGCACCCCCACACCACAGGCCAGCCCTCCTCCCTGCCAGCAGGAAGCAGCAAGTCACGGTGCCTGAGAGAGGCCATCACCTGGACCACCAAGCAACTCTTAAGTGCCCAGTGCGCAGAGCCGCGGGCCCACGGTCAGGCTCACCCTGCTGACCGCCGCTCTGCACCAGCTCATCCAGCTAAAGAAAGAGGGTCTCGGGCAGCCCCACCGCGTAATTCTGTCCCGAAGTACACCTTCATAAAGCTGGCTCAGGTAACCAAAATCTGAATTCCCAGGACAGTTATGTCAGTACGTGAACAACTCAAATATAATCAATAAAGACTTACTGGCACCCAACCATCGTGAGCTCAGAAGGCAGAACTTTCAAATACCCGTAAAGGCCAAGTTTCAAGTTTCGAGAGCAATGTGAGACTGAGATGCATTTACGTCATTCTTGCCAAGAAATTGGTGCTCATATAGATAATGAGGAGCCGCAGGCTGGCCTGATCTCCCAGCACACAGAACGGCGCCCAGCACCCGGCCCTCCATCCACCACGCCGAGGCTCCCCTGGGCAGGAGGGGGAGAGCAGGCCTATGCATGAGGGCGAGCGGTTCGTGGGATTCTCAGGTGGGGAAATTGGCCCCAGAACCCACAGGGAGGCAAAGTGATACCCACCGAGCTTAGTACCGGAGGCAGCCATGTTCTGCACCCTCACTGGGGCAAGGCCTCGCAGACACACAAACCAAACAGGGAATGGACCACAGCACGCCCCTCCCAGGTCACAGAGACCGATGTGCGGCACGTCCCATGCCTCCACCGCAGGGCTGGCCTGAGAGCGCCCGACTGAGCCCACTGGGCTCTCGGCTAGCCACAAGACACTGCGGGCTGTTGAGTTTCATAAGGACGACAGAGCCCTTCTCTCTTACGACCACTAAAACGCTCACAACAGTTGAAATCATACTGGAACACCATTTGTATATCTCCTCTCAGGAAACCCGCATTCAGCCACTTTTGTGATAATTGTGTAACATAAAGGAAAATGGAATGGATTTCCCCTACGTGAGATAAAAGAAGAATACGTGCATTGATCTCTGCCCCGGTGCCTGGCACAGGGCTCCTGAAACCCCGGTAAATTCCTAAGGGATAAGAACACTAGCAGGTGACCAGCCAGGAACAGAAGCTTGGAATCTTGAGCGGCCCCGCCATTCTCCAGACGAGAGAGGAGCTGGAAATGGAGCTAATGATGGACCATGCCTCTGTGAGGAAGCCTCCATAATATCCCGAAGTATGGGGTTCAGGGAGCCCCCAGGTGGGGGACACCCATGTACACTCCACTTCCCAGGGGCTGGAAGCTAGTGCACTCAGGACCCTACGCCTTTCTTCATGTGGCTGCCCACCTGCGTCCTTTCTCACTCCTTCAACAAAATGGTAAACGTAGTGTCTCCCTGAGTTCTGGGAGCTGCCCCAGCCCATTAATCGAACCCGAGGAGGAGGTCGTGGGAACCCCCGACCTATAGCTGGTCGGTCAGAACCACGGTTGGGACTGGTGTCTAAGAGGACAGAGGCAGTCTTGTCGGGTCTGACGCCGTCTCTGGGGGGGGGGCGGTGTCAGGACTGAGTCCAGTGGCCGGACACCAAGCCGGTGTCGTGGAGGACTGCGTGCTGGTGTGGGGGGCACCACCCCAACGGGCACTCGGTACTCAGAACCAGTTTACCCGCCAAGCCCACACAGACACCTAAAGCCTCCCTCGGGAGCTCAGAGCCCCGCCCACATTTCTTCTATGTGTGAAGTGCCAATCAGACCGCCGCCACCAGCCCAAGACAGCAGTCAGCCCAGAAGTCAAGGAAAACAAACCTTTCCACGTAACTGGACAGACATGCAGGCCAGGCAGCTGTGATGCCGAGAGACGGACAGGTCATCCCCTCAAAGGTCCCCTAGGACAACTGTGCAGGAGAACCAACTGCACTGACGGAATATTCTAGACCTACACTGTGCAATACACATGTGGCTGCTGGCACCGGAAATGCGGCCAGTGGGACGGAAGACCCAAGTCTGTGGCTTCATTCATTCTGGTTCATTGACACCTAGGAAGCCCTGAAGTGTAGCGGGCTGGGGCGGGGGGGCCTGAGTGGCTGAGGGCAGTGACCCGAGACAAAGCCGTAAGGACAGCCGTCAAGCAAAGAGCAAGCCGGCCCTGGGGCAGGAGTGCGCTGCCAGCCCTCTGCGCACACTTTCTGAGCCGGCAGAGAAACCACAGGAAGACACAGACAGCTGACGCTGGACGGTGCTCAGCAGGGGCCGGAGGGAGACCCCCAACAGGCCTTACCTACAAGGACAACCAGGTGGACTCAAGCCGGCTTCTAGGGGGACAAAGGCGGAAGAGCCCCCTCCTTACCAGCTGCTTTCAACGCCACCTGCAGAGTCACCTGTCTACCCTGCACCTGACTGGCGAGGCGACAAAAGGCACTAGGAAGGGGGCCTCATGCCTGGCGGTTCTAATAAGCCCCCTCGGAGGCTCCCCAGGGGGGGAGGGGTCGGGAGCCTCCAAACTCCGTGCAGCCCAGGGAAGGGCGCCGTCCGCACGGGCCCAAGCTGGGACTCAGACGGAGTTGTCAGGGGCTCCCCGCCGGGTGCAGGGAGCCCCCACGCTGGCCGGCGCTGAGCCCGGCCCCCACAGCCCGTCTCCACGCAGGTGGGGAGGCAGGACTCCCCAGAAGGCCTGTCGCGGCCCACGCTGGCATTCTTACCACATCCTGCAGGTGCGGGGATAGTCCTCGTTCCTCGAGCTCACGCCCACAGGCAACACAAACGGCTGCCCCTGCCCGCACTGGGCGGGCTGCTCAGGGGCAGGCGCAGCCGCAGCCTCTCCGTCCCCAGGCTCCCCGACCTTCTCGGCAGGCAGCTCCACACTGGGCTGGGCAGAGCCCCGCTGGGGCTCCCGGGGGCTCTGCCGGCCGCGGCCCCCACCGTCCTCGAGCCCGTTCTCCTGCTGCTGTTGTTCCTGGCGCACCTGCTCCCGAACCTCCAGGACGATGCGGGAGAGCTCATTGAAGTTGCGGAGGCTCTCCACATCAGGCAGCTGGATGCGGTGCATGAGGTCGATCTCGACGGTCTGCTGCCCAGCAGGGATGTTGGGGTCACCCTGAGGGGCGAGCGTGCGGCCATCAGCAGAGACACACCACTCTGTGTGGTTTCCTGCCTAGATCACACCTCTGGCCCAATCAGCTCACTCCAGCGTTCCCACTGACTTAGCAGCATCCCTTCTGAAGAATATTTTAGAAGCCCTTAAAAAATATGTGCCTACAGCAGGCACCCCCATCTGTGAAGGGATCTTCGAAAATAGGGGCTAACAGCACCTGAGTGACCTCGAGACATGCACAGACACCCGGCATAGCGGCTCATGTGCACTTGAGCCCTCCAGGTATAAAAACCTCCCCATTCTAGAACACTGGGGCTTCGAGAAGGGCACAGACCCTCCCAGGGCCAGGCGGCAGGGCCAGACCTGAATGCCAGCCCAAACCTGTCTGCCTGGAACACAAACGCTCCTGACCCTGAACCTGGGAGACCCTCCAGGCCCTGCAGCTCCACCAGGGGCCCCAGTGCTGGGCTCTGCACACAAGGAGCCTTCCCAGAGCACAGGGACCCTGGCCAATCGAGGTCCAAGAGTACAGCTCCATGAGAACAAAGAAGAGGCACTGTTCCCCAGGACACTTCAGTGCATCTGGCAGAAACACACCCCAACTATGCAAATGACCGGTGAGCACAGTGTGGACGGTGCCCCTGCAGCAGGCCCAATGGCCAACTGGTTCAAGACCCCCATTCAGCTCAACAACCCTCTGACTGTGTTCCTCAGCTGCTGAGGCCAGGATGGCATCAGGAGCCTGTGTAATAATGCAGGAGGTCTCCGCACCTCACAGCCACCAGAGGACCTCCTGGAGCCACATACCCAGGCCCCTCCCCCACTGAATCAGCATCTCTAAGGCCCAGCATCAGGGTTTCTTCAACAGCCCCAGGGGTTCAGTGTGTGGCCATGACTGAGAGCCATGGGTAAAGCCACCTTGGAAATGCTCCAAATCCCCTGGAGGTCTTGTGAAATACAAATCCTAGTTCAATGGGTCTGGGTGGGGCCTGACAGTCTGCATTCCCAGCAAACTCCCCAGCGCAGGGGTGCCACAGGCCCAGAGTCCACTGTGAGTAGCTGGGGTGCAGCCCGAGTCAGGCTACCACACAGCCAATCAGACCGAGTTCACAGAGCGGGGCCCGCCAGGGTAGCACCCGGACTCACTGTGATCTTCGTGCCCCTGGCACGCTTCCCATGGAAGCTGAGCATGACGATCTCCAGGCCGTGGCTGCCGTAGGTGCCTTTGAAGAGGCCGGGTCTGATGAGGTCATCCGGGTGGCTGGGCGGGAGGTAGATGCGGCGGTAGGTCAGGCAGTTGCTGTGGGGGGAAGGGGAGGCATGAGAGCAGCTCCGCGGGCAGGCCAAAGTACAGAGCTCACTCACTCACCTCCCTGCCGTGTGAGGGATGGCAGACAGGGCAGGGTAGCCTAGAACAGCCGGGCTGAGCTTCCTGCCAGGCCAGCGGGGAGCGGGGGAACCCCACATTCCTGAGCCACAATCACCCCTCCTCAAAACACTTGCAAGGCACATCTCACACCTTCTCTGGAATTCTAACAGGGCTGAACAGGGGCGCACGTTCGCTCTACCAGCACCACAAGGGAACTGGGGCAGGGAGCACTCTCCAAAGACAAGGGGATGCTGCCCCTGCTCCATCACCCTGGCACAGGAACCCCAGAGACCGAGAAAGGGATGCTCACTGCACAAGGGACTATTTAAATGCGTCATGGGGACAGGGCGTGGGGCGGAGGCCAAGGCAGGAAGAGCAGCTAAGAGAGGAAGTGTCCCCCGGCAGATGTGGGGATACCACCCTGAGGCTCCAGCACACAGGCCAGGCTCGTGATGATAAATCAGACAGAAAATAGACACCAAGGTAGGGCAGCGGGGGGGCAGGGACAGAGGAGGGACAGAGACTGTGCTCACAGTACCCACAGAGGGGACTGCACTTACTCGTACTGACTGGTGTAGATAAACTTCATCAGGATGAGCTCCTGCATGTGCTCGTGGAAAATGTCCTCCAGTGTCCGCCCCCATTCTTCCCTCAGCCACGTTCGGAATTCCTTCCAAGAGAGCACAGGTCATGAAAACTACCACGACGCGCATGGAGGACTGCTCGCTGTGGCGCTAAGTGGATAAAAGCAGCACTCTTGGGGCACCCGGGTGGCTCAGTTAAGCGTCTGCCTTCGGCTCAGGTCATGATCCCCAGGGTCCTGGGATCGAGCCCCGCATCGGGCTCCCTGCTCAGTGGGGAGTCTCCTTCTCTCTCTCTCTCTCCCTCTGCCTGCCTCTCTGCCTACTTGTGCTCTCTCTCCATCAAAATAAATAAATAAAATCTTTAAAAAAATTTTTAAAAAGCAGCACTCTTACAGCTGGGGTGATGCCCTGGGCACAGCAGTGCTGGAGTCCCAGCGGGGTGGACAAGATGGAGATGAAGACTGGGCAAGAGGAGGGGGCTGCCACACTTTGGTCTCCGAGTCCCTGACCTCCTTCCTGTGAAGCTCAGCCACCAAAGGAAAGTAAAGGGCTCTGGTCCCCATTTTCCCAGAGCACACAGGCACAGACTTCAACATGCAACAACAGGGACCATGGGGTCCCTTCAGCCCGTGTCCAGAGCTCCCTAGGTAGCAGCCACATGAGCCTCACTTCTGTGGCCACCAACGGGACATGCGGTGTCTACACCGAGCCTGGTTCTGGGGCTTCTAGGAAAGCAGGAGCACAGCAGGACTCCTGTGGCTAACTCCTGTGCTGGTCACGTTGGCCAGAACTGCCTTCTGCTACTGCCGAAGAACAAGACAGGTATGGCCGGGAGGGGGGCTGGGGCAGGGAGGTGCCCTCATAGTTATGTTACACGTTCAGAAAGTTCATTTGTGAAAAGGGAGCTTTTATAAACACTGCGTCCTCAAAGCTCAGTCATTCATTATGGGATCAAACAATGTGAAGGACAGTTAGTGCTTAATAGCTTGATTCTGCACATTTAACCAAATTAATCCATCGCTCTGAGTTCCTAGCTCAATATACTGTTTCTAATGACCATGCAGAGTTAGTTCTACAAACAGAAACAAAAGCAATTTAACCACAACAACAAACCAAGAGAGCTATAATCTTTCAGTTGCTTTCCTATGTTCCCGCCCAAACTCTGGCCACGCACAGAAACCCCTCACTGCAGTGACAAGCACACAGCTACAAGGCCACAAGCTCATTACGCACAAATCAACTGGAAGTTTCTACACCAGCGGCACGGAGTTGGAAAATGAAAAATTTTAAGTCCTATTTCTAGCAGCCTCAGACAACATGTGACTTGGGAATACGTATTAGAAAGTGCGTGCAGGACCCCTACTCTGACAGCCACAGGACTGCCAGAAGGAAACAGAGACACCTCCATGATACAGGCGCCCGTGGACCAGAAGACCAAGTACCAAGCCAGCAATTCTCTCCAAAGGCATCTATGGACTCAATGCCATGGCAGTCCCAGTCCCACCAGGGTCTCTGTACAAACCGGTAAGCCGATTCTGAAATTCACATGGAGCTGGAAAGGACCGACAATGTCCAAAGCAATCTTGCAAAAGAACAGGGCTGGAGGAACTGCACCAGTTCATGGTGTGACTTACTATAAAGCTGCAGTAATCAAGACAGTAGTACAAACATTGGGGTCAACAAATACACCACCGGAATGAAACGGAGAGCCCAGAAACAGACCCATTCATCTAGTCAGCTGCTTTCCGACAAATACATCCAATCCACCCAATGGGAAGTGGAAAGTCTCTTCCACAAATGATGCTCCAACGACTGGACATCCATATGGAGAAAAGGACCACGATCCCTGCCTCACACCACACACAAGAAATAATTCGAGATGGGCCATAGACCCAAACACAACGTGAAGCTACCAAACTTCTGAAGAGGAGACTCTGCAGCTTAGGGATAGGCAAAGTCTTTTAAGACACAGACAACAATAATCACAAAAGAAAAAACTTGACAAATTAGACTTCACCTCAAAACCTTCCACTTCAATGGAGTAAGGCCCTAAAAAATCAAACAGATAACGAAGAGATAAAAATGGAAGTGAGCTAATGTAACAAGTAGGGATTTTATGTTACCACGGTGAGTAATCAGACTTAAGCTAAATACCATGAGGCTGACTCGAAAGGAGTCATAATCTTATTTACTTTGCATGAAAAGGTCAGAGTCGTTAGAAATACCAACTAGACCCAATTACTCAGAACAAACACCTTTGAGATACGTTCATTATGAAATTATCTCATGAGCTATGCATACACAAGGAGAAACACAGGGGACGAGAACATACACGACAAGAATAGTATTTACGCAGGGCTTGCTCACAGGTGCTGGCATTCTATGATCATCCCCTCCATCTGCACACCAGTCCAGGGGAAGGGTGCTCACACCCTTCCTGTTCTACGGAGATGTGGGTTCACAGAGTTTGAGAAACCTTCCCCAAGTCACCCAGCTAGTATGCAGCAGGATCAGAGCTACTCCTGAGCCCACGTGCTAAGGGGCCTGGTTTCCACCCGGGCCAAGAGGAAGGCCGGCAGGAGCAAAGGAGGCAGGGGGCTCACCCACCCTGGTGGGTGGTAAATGAGGACCAGCAAACTAACAACACATAACAAGAATCTGGAACAGGGCCTTTTACCTGGCAATCCCATTTCTGTATGATCCAAAAACCAGGTAAGGTTTTTGCACAGAGTTCCGGCAGTAACACCTGGAGGCTCTCAGCCTGGCGCTAAGGCACTCACACGCCCTGCCCTACTCAGTCCTCCAACCCCCGCAGGGGTCCACATTTCACAGATGAGGACTGAGGCTCTCAGAGAACAAGTCACCCAAGCGGAAGGTCAGGAGGGGGAGCACAAACCCCATGTCTGACCGCAGGAGAGCAGTTACGCTCAGGCAATCACCCTATGGATGACGGATGGAACAGTGCTTTAAAAATAAAGATTAAAAGAATTCTAATGAGCCTGGAAAATATTTCTGGAAGAGCTAAAAAGCTTAAAAAAAAAAAAAAAAGACCCAAATTAGATGGAGTTAGATCCCAGTTACATAAACAAAATTCGGAGAACAAGAAGGGATGACGGAGGACGGGTGTGGGGGCTGCTCCTGGGTGGGGCTCCCACGACTGCGTGTTTGATGGTGAGAAGATATCATTTTCAGTACATGAGACAAAGAAACAAAAACAACTTGTGTCCAGTCAAGAAGTCTGCATGACCAAGTGCAGAGCACACCCTGAGTGGGGCCAGCAGAAGCCCATGGCCTGGTCAGGAGGGACAAGGGACGCCCACAGCATCGCAGTGGTGGGGCCTGGCCGTCCTCTCTCCTTCCTCTCTTCCCTGTCTCTGCTCCTCCTCGTAGGCCCCGGTTCTCCAGAAGCCTCAGGCTGGGGGGCTGGACAGGCACGGGGGGGGCAGGGAAGATGGCAGCTGGGCCTTGCCATCATCTGTGAAGGGAGGCCAGGGGAGACGAGTCTGGGTAGGCCTGAGGGCCTGCCCTGCTCACAGGAACCCAGGAGAGGGGCTGCAGTGTGCAAAGCACACAGGTCACCCGGAGGCATTGTGAGGGGCAGGCCGAGGCCACCGCAGCCTGAGACATCAGATCACACCACGGCAGTCTGGACTTGGCATTCAAAGGTGGACATGGCGGCAGAAACCCCGGGACCGGAGCTGGGTGTGAGCACTGGAAGGGCTGGTGAGCAAGATGCAGTGCATCAGCCAGACACCTGCAGGGCGGCTGTGGCCTTCACAGGGGAATGACGGGAGACTCACTGGTTCCTTCATGGGCAGCACTTCTCAGAGAGCACGGCCTGCAGAGGGGGACCGCCAGGGCATCCCCCACAAGCTCTCAGAATGCCACACAGGGTGGAGGACAGTGCAGCACCAGGCCAGCCCCTGGGGGCATGAGAGGATCCCCTGCCCAGGAGACTGCGCGCCGCCCTGTTCCCCTGCTAGCCCTGTTGGCCGCCAGGAGCCCTCCGTCCCCTGTGGTCCCCAGAATTTTAAATGCCCATCAGCTACCGGAGCACAGGACAGCCAGAGTGCACAGCTCAGCCTTTCACCTCGGTGTGCAGAGCTATCAGGAACATGGCAATGTCCCCCCACAGCCTGTCCTCTCTCCCTGGGGCCTGAAGCCATTCCCCTGGGTCTGAAAGACTCCATGAGAAAGTGAAGACATTTCTGGCTGACTCCTGAACCGGCAGGAGACCCTGTCCCCACACGGCTGAGGGGACAGACAGGGGATGGACAGAGAGAAAAGCAGGCGAGAGAGGGACAAGTGACCGTGGGGCCACACAACAAGTTCTCCAGAACTCTGCTCTGCCCGGTGGCACCGCGTCTCCCCGATGGGCTCGGCAGGGGAAGACAGACACCTCTGACTACATAAAAATTAAAAACAAGAAAACTCCTGGAAAAAAAATATACCATAAATCAAACTAAAAGACAAAAACATGAGGAAAAATACTTGCAACCACACCTGAAAGACTGATTTTCTAATATGAAAAAAAAGCTCCTACAAATCAACTAGAAACATACCAGCACCAGAGAGAGCAGCGAGGATGTTTACTAACAAACATGTCACAGAAAAGCAGCCCCGGGGAGCCCTTAGCCAGGCCCCTAACCTCAGCCTCGGGCACGGTCGTGGTCACAGAAATGCAAACTGACGCCCCAGTCCCGAGACCAGCAAAGCTTTACTCCCACCCAGCGTGCACGTGTTCTTAGAGTTTCCACAAAGGACTTGTGTTAGTACTTTCATAATCAGAAAAAATGCCACTCCACTTCAAAATCACACAGACGCGGCTTACAAGACCTTTTTCTGATCCCAGCATACGTATTTCCAGAAATTCACTATCTGGCCTTTTTAAGGTTCACAGCTGAGGAGTTTCTATTCTCAGAAAACACATCGACCTTTTTCACTGAAACGCAGACTGGAGCACTCACCTGTACGTTGTGTGTGTGACTGTATGTGCCCAGGCTTCGACAACGGTGTTGTGAATGAAAAATGCACCGTCACCTTCACAGGCCATGTATGTGAGAAAACAGGGCCTCGTCTACCTCCAAAGGACTCCCGCGAGCACCTGTGTGCACTCTTCAGACGCAGACATGCGTGCGTATGAATTTACCTTACACCTCCCCGCAATTCTCTGGCTAACAGGGAAGCTGTCAGACTCAGAACTTGAGAAATACACAGCCATTAAATAAATGTAAGTTCAATGAGCATCCTACATTTTAAAAGTTCAAGGTTTTCTTAAGAATGTTCTGAAACAGCAGTATGACTTGGATCCTCAGAAAAGGAAAACTCAAAGGCAATGTGAAAGTATCCGTGCAAATAAAAGGAAGTGCTAAGAAGCTCGCGGTGTGGCTCAGAGCCAGGCCTCCACGCTGCGCTGCCAAGACTTGGAAATCTCAGCCACTAGGCCCGTCTGCGGGGAGAACACAGAGGCTCCAAAAAAGCCCCCTGGTCTCCATGCAAACTCACATCCAAGAAGAAATCTCCAGCAGCACACGGACACTCTCGCCAAAGGGGCGAAAGAGAGCAGATCAGAGGGAACGATTTCTCTGGGGCTCGTTCACTCTGAGGGGCGGCAGGGAATGAAAGCCTGCGAGCATGGACACGAACAAGGACATCCTGACGGAAAAGCCAGACGCACACATCGGGATGAGCCGGGGAGACGGCCCCTCGTTGGGGGCTCACTGGCGATGTCAAACCATTCAACCCCATCACAGCCGCGCCATGGGAACAGAAGGTGTACGGGCTCACCTCCTGCCTCCCGCCAGACATCCTGTGGTGGTCAGTCTGGTTGCACTTGGTGGAGAACTCGTCCTTCTTCACAATCTTGAGCATTCGCCACAAAGGAGAGGGGAGCGTGTCAGTCATGGGTGGCACGATCAACCTCTCCCGCACCGACAAACCCCACATGTGTACAGAAGCCCAAGATGCCACCGTATCTCGGCCAGTCCAAAGAAGGGACCTCAGAGCCACCCTGCGCACGCAGTTCCTTCTCAGGGGAAGGTGCATGTGCGTCTTCCCAGGAGGACATCTTACAGCAGGAAAAGGGGCTGTGCTTTCGTCGTGTGTTAGGGAACACACGTGCTGATTGGGGTGGCTGTCTGCCAAACCATTATCAGAGAGCAGCGTGTCTTACTCCAAGTTTATATTCTTGCAAAGAGGAAACCAGGGAGCAGTGAGGAATCACGACAAAAACAACGAGTTCCAACTGAACGCAGAATCCCTGGGGGGTCCCAGCGAGAGAGTCTCTGAAGGGCACATCACTAACGCACCCCGGAGTGGGGCTGAGCCCCCGCTTCCTCCTGTGCTCACTGCTCGGTGTGGACACAGGTCTGCAGCTGGAACACCACAGCCACTCAGCCAGCACCCCACCCCAGCGGCCACTGGGACCGGGGCGGACAAAGGAGCCCTAGCCCCTTGCCTGCACATGGCTGCCACGCCTCAGGGAGCCCCGAGCGCTCACCTGAATGTGGCCGTTGTGGGGCCCTCTGTGGCCATACATGCACTCCACCGTGGCAGACTTTCTCTCCATCAGGTGGACTCTGAACAGGGGCTTGAATCGCATTGGGTCGTCCACATGAGGGTCATGGGGAGGCAGGTACATCCAGCCAATGATGAACAAGCCATCCACCTGCAGGGAGGAGAAAGGGCACAAGTCCACACAAGGCTCAGGATGAGGTGCCGAGGGAGAAGGTCCCCAACCTACCCTGTCCGCAAGAACCATCCTCGTCCTCACACAGCAGCCCCGCTGACTCTCGGGGCCAGGGAACATCGCGGCGCCCCCATCTAGCGTACCACAGTGAGCATGGCCCATCTACCAAGTGCTTGTTAATTAGAAGTAGTTATTGATTGTAAACAGGGTGACTGTCGTTGGTAACACTGCATCAACACTGAGATCTTTTTTTTTTTAAGATTTTATTTATTTATTTGACAGAGAGACACAGCGAGAGAGGGAACACAAGCAGGGGGAGTGGGAGAGGGAGAAGCAGGCTTCCCAAGGAGCAGGGAGCCCGATGTG